TTGGGACTCAACGGGACTCTAGCTGTGGAGTCTGGCCTAGCACAGCTCCCACCCAGCTTTCAGGGACACGGGGTGGTCACGGGCACTCAGCAGGGACATGGTTCAAACTCAGAGGGTGGTAGCTATACTCCGACACGCCATGGGGCGGTTCAAGTAAAGGTAGTCTAGGTGTGTAGTAGGGCAGTTCATAACCCAGGTGGTCTGCGCGCACAAGCAGGGCCAGCTCAGGACACGGGTGGTCAGTGCACACAGCAGGGACAGTTCAAAACACGGGTGGCCGGTGCACACAGCAGGGACAGTTCAGAACACGGGGTGGTCAGTGCACACAGCAGGGACAGTTCAGAACACGGGTGGTCGGTGCACACAGCAGGGACAGTTCAGAACACTGGTGGTCGGTGCACACAGCAGGGACAGTTCAGAACACGGGTGGTCGGTGCGCACAGCAGGGACAGTTCAGAACACGGGTGGTCGGTGCACACAGCAGGGACAGTTCACAACACGGGGTGGTCGGTGCACACAGCAGGGACAGTTCAGTAAAACACGGGCTTCCAGGTGATCGGTGCGCACAGCAGGGACAGTTCAGAACACGGGTAGTCTAGTGCGTCAGCAACAGGGACAGTTCAGGACACGGCTCCTCCAGGTCGGTACGAACCACAACAGGGACAGTTCAGGACACGGGTGGCTTCTGGACGCACCAGGGACAGTTCAGGACACAGGGGAGGTCGGGGCGCACAACAGGGACACTGACAGTAGGCGACTTGCAGACGCTCAGCAGCAGGCGGCTTCCAGGTAGGGACCCTCACAGCGGCTGGCTCCTCCAGGGGCCCTAGCGACCAGCAGCAAGGGGCCCTCACGGCATAGCGGCCAGCTTCCTCCAGGGGCCCAGCGATCAGCAGGCAGGGGCCCTCACAGTGGCCAGCTTCTCCAGGGCCCAGCGATCAGAAGGTAGGGGCCCACACAGCGGCCAGCTTCTCCAGGGCCTAGCGACCAGCAGGCAGGGGCCCTCACAGCGGCCAGCTTCTCCAGGGGCCCAGCGATCAGCAGCAGGGGCCCTCACAGCGGCCAGAAACAGCAGCGAGGGTAGCATGGCCGCGGGGTCTGACCTTCGAAGAGGGGCTCATGCAGAGCTGCGGAGAGTCCCACCCTGAGACATTCAGCAGAGGGAGCAAGATGATTCCAGCAGTGTGCACAGGAACAAAGAGAGAAGGGCTGCTTCCTGTGCGAATCTTTTTAAAACCATGTGGGACGCTGCTAGGTTGCCTCGGCAACGGCCGGCCCAGCACTGTTCATGGAAGCTGCACAGACATCTGAATGTGCAAGGGGGAAGGGAGGGGTGGAGGGATATGGCGGGGGATGGGAGAGGCACTGGCACACCTGACAGGGACATTTAAGAAAGCAAAACAAAAAATACAATGAGTAGAGGGTCCTTTTATTATAACTAAAAGGGCAACATTGAAACAACATTAATCATCCTAGCTACATGTTTGGAAAAAGCCTTTACGCTGTGTGTGGTTTCACAAGATAATACAAATTTCATGAACAGTGACACCATATTCTGACACAGGAGCGGACTGACCATTTGGAAACTTAGGCACTGCCTGAGGGCCCGGGGTCAGTATTGAGCCCCATGAGATGCACCTGGTACCTTTTTCATAGCCTTTTCTGAGTTTGGGCAAGGACACAGTGGCCCCATGATCCCCTATTGCCCGGGGGCCCCATGAGTTGTCAGTTCGCCCCTGGTCTGACAACACATATTTTGGTGTACTTTTTTATGCCTTATATATAGCTTGAGTTAATTACAGCAGCAGAACCCAATCTGATTCATTTCTTTGAAAATATTGAACAAAAGGCTTTTTAGGTAGTTTTGGTCAGACCTGATGACAAGGGTGTCTGTAAAATGTGTAGGGAGGAGCCTATTTTGTGATGTCATCATGCACGCCTCTGTTGGGTGGTGACGCTGTATTAATGTGCTTTGATAACAGCACTTTGGGAACATCCAGCTTCTTTTGCAATTACCTTTTGATGCTTTCTCCTCCTTATGGAGGGTGTCAATGATGGTTTTCTGCACAACTGTCAGGTCAGCAGTCTTTCTCATGATTGTGATTCCTACTGAAACAGACTGAGAGATCATTTAAAGGCTCAGGAACCCTTTGCAGGTGTTATGGCTTAATTTGCTGATTAGAGTGGGACACTTTGAGCCGAGAATATTGCACCATTTTCACAATATTCTAATTTTCTGAGATTGTGGATTTGGGGTTTTCATGAGCTGTAAGCCATAATCATCACAATTATGACAAATCACGGCTTGAACTATCTTGCTTTGCATGTAATGAGTCTATCTCATATATTAGTTTCACCTGTACATGCTCAGATACATCTTTGTTTATTAGTGCCACATATGTATCATAAATCCATTTTATAGAAGATATTGGGCCATGTTCCATAGTTTTTTTTTTTTGTTTGAGTGACACCGGTGCTCCTTTTGTAGTAAATGCATTGGAGACAAGAGGCTCACTGAGGGCCATCCATTTGAGGTGCAGACTCCTGTGTGAGGACTGGTGTGGATACTCATGTTGTGTTAACCTCTTATAATTTGAAGGTTAAGGCTGGCTATACACTATACAATTTTCTGTCCAATTTCTGCCCAATTTCCTTTAGATTACTTTCAATTATGTAGTGCTAGGGCCTGCCTAATTGGATACAATTGAAAGTGTTATTTATGTTTGACCTCATATTATATGTTTTTTGGTAAATCTAAAGCAAAATTCTTGAGAAAATTGTCTAATGTATGAAAAGCTTAAGGCTGGCCATACATTATACAATTTTCTTTCGAAAATTGCTTTCGATTTACCAAAAACCATATAACATGAGGTCAAACCTGAACAACACTTTCAATTGTATCCAATTAAGCAGGCCCTTGCACTACATCAGGGGTGGGCAACTTTGGCCCTCCAGCTGTTGTAGAACTACAAGTCCCATGAGGCATTGCAAAACTGACAGTTACAAGCATGACTCCCAAAGGCAGAGGCATGATGAGACTTGTAGTTCACCAACAACTGGAGGGCCACAGTTGCCCACCTCTGCACTACATAGTTGAAGGTAAATCTAAAGGAAATTGGGCAGAAATTGAACAAAAAATTGTATAGTGTATGGCCAACCTAAGTCTTTGGTAAGGCTGGCCATACATTATACAATTTCTCTTGAGATTTTTGGTTTAGATTTCCAAAAACCATATAATAGGCCAAACCTAAAATTACTTTCAATTGTATCCAATTAGGCAGGCTCTTGCACTACATAGTTTAAGGTAAATTTAAAAGAAATTGGGCAGAAATTGGACAGAAAACTGTATAGTGTATCGCCAGCCTAAGTGTGTTAGTGGTGATGATTATTCTGAGATCATGGCAATGGTCTGTGTGTCTAGTGGAAGTGGATGGACTCTTTTCATATGTTAATTAACAATTTTATTTATTTATGGACAGTTATTAGTTTGTGTACTTTATGTATTAAAGGATTTGATATATGAATTGATATGCACAATAGCACTTTATTATCTACGAATGAGTGCACAGTAAGCAGTTTATGTTTTCCGGAAATTAACATATATTTTTTTTTTATACTTACTGCCTAACAGCATTGTATGTATGTATATATATATATATATATATATATATATATATATATATATATATATATATGTGAATTGAGCACTTTATGCGATCATCTCCTAGATTGTAAGCTCGAAAGAGCAGGGCCCTCGAACCCCTCGTGTAGTGTATTGTTACTGTCTTCTCTCATGTTCTGTCCCCCTTGCTACTGTACAGCGCTGAGCATACCCTTTGGCGCTATATAAATACTGTATAATAATATAATAATAATTTAAAGAGACAGCGCACCTTTCCTGTATTCACATAGAGGGGTCACCTTCAGTCTCATGTATGATTTGACACAAGACGTGGGTTACCTTCTGTTTGCTTGTATTACAGAGGACTACTAAACATTCACTTAAAACAGGCCTATGAAAAAAAAATTTGGCAGCCAGCAGCAATTAGAAAATATGCCATTTGAAACAATACCTTAAAGATACCTAAAATACCTGAAAAGAGTCTGCAGGATATCAGCAGAATTAGGATGTAACAAAGGACAAAAAAAGGTAAGAACTCCTCTCTCCCCCCACCCCCAAATTCTCCAAGATACAGTTTATGCATTTTATCAGCAGCACTTCTTATGTTTTCCCTATCACAGCTAAAGCGTAGTCTCACTCTCTCAATCAACATTGATTATGTTGAATTCATATGCTACTAGCTTTAGTAAATAGATAGCAAAGAATATCATATGTATGTGTTTTAAACAGTTTTTTACACTTCTTTAGTTACTTCCTGGTTTCCATGTCTAGGCAAATTATGTCATACAACACAGCAGTCTTCAAGAGGGGAGGAGGGTTTTCTCAGCTAAGTACAACCCCCTGTCTGCATGCTGAGCTAAGGGCAAATTAATTCCAGGAAGTACCGTATTTTTTGCTCCATAAAACGCACCTGACCATAAGACGCACCTAGGTTTTAGAGGCAGAAAACAAGAAAAAAATAATATTCTTAACCAATGGACTGCAGACATAGTACAGGAGATGACCAGACTGCAGACATAGAACAAGAGATGACCAGAGACTACAGACATAGTACAGGAGATGACCAGAGACTGCGTACACAGTACAGGAGATGACCAGAGACTGCAGACATAGAACAAGAGATGACCAGAGACTACAGACATAGTACAGGAGATGACCAGAGACTGCGTACACAGTACAGGAGGTGACCAGAGACTGCGGACACAGTACAGGAGATGAGCAGAGACTGCGGACACAGTACAGGGCATGACCAGGGACTGCAGACACAGTACAGGAGATGACCAGAGACTGCGGACACAGTACAGGAGATGACCAGAGACTGCGGACACAGTATAGGAGATGACCAGAGACTGCGGACACAGTACAGGAGATGACCAGAGACTGCGGACACAGTACAGGAGATGACCAGAGATTGCGGACACAGTACAGGAGATGACCAGAGACTGCGGACATAGTACAGGGAATGACCAGAGATTGCGGAGACACAGTACAGGAGATGACCAGAGACTGCAGGAGATGACACAGTACAGGAGATGACCCAGACTGCGGACTGCGGACACAGTACAGGAGATGACCAGAGACTGCAGACACAGTACTGACCAGAGACTGTGGACACAGTACAGGAGATGACCAGAGACTGTGGACACAGTACAGGAGATGACCAGAGACTGCGGACAGTACAGGAGATGACCAGAGACTGCGGACACAGTACAGGAGATGACCAGAGACTGCGGACATAGTACAGGAGATGGAGATGCGGACCAGAGACTGCAGGACTGCACACAGTACAGGAGATGACCTGAGACTGCGGACACAGTACAGGAGATGACCAGAGACTGCGGACAGTATAGGAGATGACCAGCGACTGCGGACAGTACAGGGGATGACCAGAGACTGCGGACAGTACAGGAGATGACCAGAGACTGCGGACTGCAGGGGATGACCAGCCTGCGGACAGGGGATGACCAGAGACTGCGGACAGATGACCAGAGACTGGACAGTACAGGAGATGAGACTGCGGACAGTGCAGGGAAATGACCAGAGAGACTGCGATGACCAGTGACAGTACAGGGATGACCAGAGACTGCGGACAGTGCAGGGGATGACAGGGGATGACCAGACTGCGGACACAGTGCAGGGATAACCAGGGAGACTGCAGACAGTACAGGGGATGACCAGAGAATGCAAACCTTTGGGAAGGGGAGCGGGTACCTGAATTTGACAGGTACCCGCTCCCACTTCCACAGAGTTATCCTCCTTTAGTATGGGCACTTTGTGATTGGTCCGGCGTCTTCTGGAACCTGTCATGTGTCCCAGAAGACGCCGTACCATTCACAAAGCGCAGTGATTCTTGCGCATGTGCACTGGGCACTCAGCTGTCAAGCCCAGAGCTCACACTAAAGAAGCCGGCACGGGAAGACTGTACAGTGCTGGACCGAGGAATAGGTAAGGTCCTGCTGCAGAGCTGAGCGGCCGGCCTGGTATTCTGACACGGCAGCGGTGGAAATATCGGTCCGGCCACTCCATATTCGCTCCATAAGACGCACTGACATTTTCCCCCCTTTTTTGGGGGGAAAAAAGTGCATCTTATGGAGCGAAAAAGACGGTAATTGCTACATGAATCACCTGCCCTTACTCAAGATGGTTATGGCCAGAAATGTTAGGGGGTGTTTTTCAAAGTAATTCCTCAGCAAAATAAAGCATGGAGTTATGGATGGGTGTAGGAGTTTGCTTTGAATATTAAAAAAGAATTAACTAGCAGTTTTGGTTTGAGGTACTCAGATACAGTGCAGTTCCACTGCAACCACTTGTCTACCAGGCACTTTTACCCTCTTCCTGCCCAGACCAATTTTCATCTTTCAGCGCTGTCGCACTTTGAATGCTAATTGCGCGGTCATGCAACACTGTCCCCATATTAAATTTGTATCATGTTTTCACACAAATAAATCTTTCTTTTAGTGGTATTTAACCCCTTGCCTACAGGGCACTTATACCCCCTTCCTGCCCAGGCCAGTTTTCAGCTTTCAGCACTGTCGCACTTTGAATAACAATTGCATGGTCATGCAACACTGTACCCATATGAAATTTGTATCATTTTTTTGAGACAGATAGAGCTTTCTTTTGGTGGTACTTAATCACCTCTGGGTTTTTTATTTTTTGCTAAACAAACCAAAAACAACTGAAAATTTTGAAAAAAAAAATTTTTTTTCTTAGTTTTTGTTATAAAATTTTGTAAATAAGTGATTTTTCTCCTTCGCTGATGTGCACTAATGAGTCTGCACTGATGGGCACTGATAGGTGGCAATGATGGGCAAAGATGAGGAGGCACTAGTAGGTGGCACTGATGGGCATTGACAGGCATCACTGATGGGCACTGAAAGGTAGCTCTCATATATGGCACTGATAGGCGGCACTGACTGGCACTGTTAAGCAGCACTGACTGGCACTGATATGCGGCACTGATTGGCAGCACTGATAGGTGGCACAGACTGGCATTGATAGGTGGCACTGACTGGCACTGATAGGTGACACTGAAAGGCAGCTCAGATGGGCACTGATATGTGGCATTGATGTGGCACTGATGGGCACTGGCAGGTGGCATTGATGAGCACTGACAGCTGGCATTGATGGGCACTGACAGGTGGCACTGCTGGGGCTACACTGATCATCAGGGCACACTGATCATCGGTGCCCTGATGATCAGTGTACATGTCCCCTCCGAGGAATGCCGATTACCGGCTCTCCTCTCCTCTCGAGCTGTCAACGTGACAGCTCGTGAGGAGAGAAATGCTGATAACCGGCATTTCCTTATTTACATGCGATCAACTGTGATTGGACACAGCTGATCACATGACCGAGCCGACATCTTCGGCTCTTTCTGTTGATCAGTGATCCACAGTGTCCGAGGGACACAGCCCACCACCGATAGCCACTCTGCGCGCCCCCAGAGCCATGCACCCGCGGTTAGAGTGGGAGGACGTCATATGACGTCCTCCCAGAATGAGAGAACTGCCTTGCTCCCATCATTACCTTATATGGCGGGCAAAAGGCGGTTAAAGCGTAACTTTACTCTCTCAATCAACATGGACCATTTGTAATCCTTATGCTGCTAGCATTTAAATAGATAGGAAAGTATATCATATTGACTTGTTTTAAACTTTTTTTATACATTTCTTCAGTTACTTCCTGGTTAGCATGCCTAGGCAAATAATGTCATACATCCCAGCAGTCTTCAGGAGAGGAGGGAGGGTTCTCAGCTCAGCCAATGCCTGAGCTTAGGGCAGATGGATTTTAGGAAGTAAATGCTACTTGAATCATCTGCCCTTACTTAAGATGGCCAGTGCCAGAAAAGCTAGGGGGTGTTTTTCAAAGTGATTTCTCAGCAAAATAAAACATGAAGACATGGACGGATGGGTGAATTTGCTTTCAATATTAACAATGAATGAAATAGCATTTTTGGTTTGTGTTGCTCAGATGCAGTGCAGTTCCACAACCTTTCATTCTACGAATAAAAAATTACCTATGAATGAGGGACAAGTGGAGGATTGAAAAGTCTGCCTCCTCCATTCATAGATCACACTTCATTCATAAAAGCTGTAGCATGGCTTCTATATATAGAGGAGGTGGGTGGAAAGAACAGGCATAGATGGGCACTCTTGATGAGTGTCTGTCACAGCATTCTCAGCTCTATTAACCTTCACTTCACCAAAGGATAATGGCAGTGGAGGTAGGGGGTATTGGAGGATGAACATTTTAAGGAAAGCAAGAGCCAGCAGCAAAAGGAACACATTATTAGTAAGTAAGTAAGTAATGTCCCTTGTGCTGATTTTATTTTTTTTTAATTTTGACTAAACTTAAGCATTAAATGTGTTCCACTCTATATCAAATGCTGCCTAAGAGTAGGAACCACAAACAAGCCTGAAACCAAAATGTACCTGGAATTACCTCTAATGTCCCAATCTTAGGCTAATAGAAAGTAATGTCCCTTGTGCTGATTTTTTTTTTTTATTATTTTGACGCTTTAATTCTGCCTATGTATTTTTGCATAAGACTTTTTTTTTTTACATTTGTTTGCTTCTTCTGATCTGTGTTCTCCTGTCAATGAGTGATTGTAATATGTCAAAGGGAAGGGCTTCATTTCCTTTCCCTACTTCATCCTTCCTGCGGTGACTAGGGAGGCCTTGCTGCATGATTATCAACTGGCTTTCAGGATTCCATGATCAGAGGGTTTCACTCTAGTGTTTACTTTGTAGTTCACCGTGAAGACGGGATTCAGTGACCTGTATGTGCAATAATGGTTTGTATGATTCAAGACTTCAGCACTCACTGCTCTATTAATTATTTATCATATTCAGATCAGAACCAGTTGTGTTTAGACCACTACACTTAACTGTTTCATTCATAGGCTCCACAGTCAGTACTGATACAGTGCAGGCAATGCATGTGCATTAGTGCATTGTACTTTCTAAAATATGTCCAGACATTAGAAAATCACCTAATTTTCTGTCTAGTTTAAATTATATATAAAACTAGCAACAATAATGTAATTTATTGCAGCTCACCAGTCCTTGGATGTGGTGGCTGCATTCCTTTAATTTTTTCAGAAAATACTTGTTGATCTTACCATAAATGTGGTGCCATTGTCAACAACAAAAGGAAAAAAAGAGTAGGAAAAAATTAAAATGAAAACAAATGCAGTCACCACATCTAAGGAGTTGTAGGCTTCAAAATATAACATTTTTATTTTGGGGTTTAGATATACTTTAACTACCCTTTGACCCACTGATTATAATAATTTATAGGAATAAAAGAGAATCTTACATTTCAGATACCACGTAGAAAATATGTGAATTTCTCTGCGGTACTCCTTTGTTAGACTGGTCATGGGTTTTTTGTATTTAACAGTGTCTAGGGAGCAATCATTTCATACTCATAGTTTTCTACAGCAATATAATCTGATTATTTCTTCAATCCAATTACCTAAATCCTATTTTATTCTATTTGTGGAGTGATAGCTGAAAACTCCTGCTTAAGATGACATTTAGCGTGGACACGAGTGCCAGCCATAAATTTAAATTGTAGGCTGACATACACATGTTGCATTAAAGTCTGCAACAATGACTCTGCAGATTTTCCTGCTTTACCCCACAAACTGTATGCTGATTATCTTAATTACATATTTTATTTTGTGAACATTAGAGCAGGCTTTTATTTGAGCTGCATATGTGAAGGAAAACTATTACAATTACACAGAGTGTTTTTTATAATTTATTTATTGTAATATGAGAAACATTTGGAATATACTAATATTTCTCAAAGGTAACCAATAATGCTTTTATAAATGTTATTATTCAGTGTGATACAGAAAAGATTTTCCAGCTTCCTGGCTATGTCACACAGCTTTGTCTGCTTTTTGCATCAAACACCACTACTGCAGTCCCAGCCTCCCTGCTGTACTGGTTCCTTAACCCCTTCACTTCTAAGGGTAAAACAAATCTTAAAGCCTAAGTAAAATTTTACAACATGTGTTAGTAAAACCGTACATATCATCACAACTAATTTGTACATCCAGGTGAATTATTTTTTTTATATTATCAAAGGAAAACTGGCCCAAAATAGTAAAAAAAAAAATATTTTTTTTTAATTAAGCTGTGTGTTTCTTGTTACTACCATAACCTACCACCAAAAAACAACCCAAAATAGATTTTGCAGCTCTTGATGATCGCAGAGATACCATATATGTGTATGTTATTTATTGTTTGTACCCGTAGTACTGCCCAGACACAATAGTGCACATTTTGTTTTTTTACCTAAAACACACTCACACCAATTTTTTTTTTTTAACAATCCTGACCTTTGACCCAAACACTAACCCTGGCACTGAACTAGATCAAACCTTGATCTGGGTATTTTTTCTTTATTTTTTATTTTATTTTTTAATATTTATTTTTTACAAACAGTTTTTTTTCTCTCTCTGCAAGGAGAGAGAGAGATACAATGTATCTCTCCTCTATTCAGAGAGAAAAAAAACCAAGGGGGGCAGGCTTCACAGTGACTTATCACTGTGATAGCCAATCAGAGGCTATCACAGCAATTATGTGACCCAGAATCAGGAGTCCCGGGCTCTCAATGACATCCCGGTCTTTGTGCTGGGAGCGTGCTGTGCGGCACTCTCCCAGCACAAAGACAGGTATGCAAATATGTGGCTCCACGGAAAAAAGCCCAGGTCTATGAGGCTATACATTTGTGTTACGTCGGCATGAAGGGGTCAAATCTGAAGTTTAATCTCCCTCCCCCAATCAACATGCTCATAGAAATTTAAATAAAACTTTTCTTTTTTCATTACATGCCTTACTTTAGAACCAGTGACATTATCAATGGGTTTATATACTTTTCTGCACAACGTAGGTAGATCATGGCTGATTCCTGGACATCACAATGCTTTGCCTTAGTACTCCTCTCAGGAGTCTTCAGCCCAGGTACAAGATATCAGCTGAGTCTTGGGAGGAGTTTTGCATTTATCAGATAACCTTGATGGGTAGATGTCAGTTTGGAGGAGCGGATTTTCCAAGGCAGACAGCATTTGCATACAGGCTAACTTAGGTAATGCCCACATGTGATGCTGAACCTCCATGATTGAAAGAACTGAAATCCATTGAATGAAGCAAGTGAGCCAAGGACAGTGAGGCTGGGGAGGAAAGGAGTAGATGATGCTGGACTTTCTCTAGCCAGGAAATGAGGTAGGTTCTAGATGACTTGCTGCAGCTTTTAATGTATAGTGGATATAAAAAGTCTACACCCCTGTTAAAATGTCAGGTTTCTGTGATGCAAAACAATGAGACAAAGATAAAAAATTTCAGAACTTTTTCCACCTTTAATGTAACCTAATAAACTGTACAACTTTAGTTGAACAACAAACTGATATCTTTTAAGTGGAGGGGAGTAAAGCTAAAAAACTAAAATAATATGGTTGCATAAGTGTGCACACCCTTAAACTAATACTTTGTTGAAGCACCTTTTGATTTTATTCCAGCACTCAGTCTTTTTGGGTATGAGTCTATCAGCATGGCACATCTTGACTTGGCAATATTTGCCCACTCTTCCTTGCAAAAGCACTCCAAATCTGTCAGCTTGCGAGGGCATCTCCTGTGCACAGCCCTCTTCAGATCACCCCACAGATTTTCGATTGGATTCAGGTCTGGGCTCTGGCTGGGCCATTCCAAAACTTTAATCTTCTTCTGGTGAAGCCATTACTTTGTTGATTTGGATGTATGCTTTGGGTCGTTGCCATGCTGAAAGATGAAGTTCCTCTTCACGTTCAGCTTTCTAGAAGAAGCCTGAAGGTTTTGTGTCAATATTGACTGGTATTTGGAGCTATTCATAATTTCCTCTACCTTGAGTAAGGCCCAGTTCCAGCTGAAGAAAAACAGCCCCAAAGCATGATGCTGCCACCACCATGCTTCACTGTGGGTATGGTGTTCTTTTGGTGCAGTGTTGTTTTTTCTCCAAACATATCTTTTGAAATTATGGCCAAAAAGTTCAAACTTGGTTTCATCACACCATAACACATTTTCCCACATGCTTTTGGGAAACTTCCAGGGGCGGACTGACAACTCATGGGGCCCCCGTGTCCTTACCCACACTCAAAGTACACCCAAAAAAGCCTATAAAAGGTACCAGGGGGCATTTCATGGGGGCCCCCTACTGACCCCGGGCACTTGGGCAGTGCCCGAGTGCTCGAATGGTCAGTCCGCCCCTGGAGACTTCAGATGTGTTTTTGCGAAATGTAGCTGGGCCTGGATGTTTTTCTTTGTAAGAAAAGGCTTCCATCTTGCCACTCTACCCCACAGCCCAGACATATGAAGAATACGGGAGATTGTTGTCACAT